AAATGTTCTAAACTCTTAATTAATTTATGAAATTTGATGACGATTCAAAATATACCAACTATATTAAATTTTAATAAAATAAATTTAATTTTTTTAAAAACACAGGTTGAACCGCGTTCTTAAATCGTTCCTAAACACACACACACACAATCCTTTGCTCAATCAAGAAATGTTCTGGAGCACTAAGGCTTGTAGTCTAGCGATCCTGACAGGGTTTTTTTGTTTATACATTCTGAGTTAAAGCTTTAGTGTATATATTTGTTATTCTTACGGTGTTTTACATATTTACTAGGCTTGCAGGATGTTAAATGAATTCAGGAATTAATCATGGTGTGTGTAAATCAGTCTGAACATTCCAGATTATTTTTAAAAAAAATGTTCTAGACTCTTAATTAATTTATGAAATTTGATGATATTATTTATTTAAACTCCACTCAATTAATTACTTTCTCTTGGTTTTCTGAGATATTAAATTAAAACCGCTATATCATCCATGAAGTCTCATGTTTTATTGTTTGAGAGATATACATCCGTATATGCATATTGACACGTGAGGATTTACATACTTGAATGTACATCAACTTTAATTTAAAAATATAGACTAATGGATTTTTTATCAACCAATTTAGTATATACCTTGTTATTTCTGGCACTACGCTACATGTGAGATCAAAAAAAATTTGAAAGTAAAAAGTAAATGTAGGATGGAAGGAAATATTTGATATTGTAATAAACTAAGTTCATTTGATCAAATTTAAAAAATTCTTGATCGGGACTTTATATTTTTTAAAATTATCTTATATTTAATAAGAAAAAATGACAAACACTTATAGAATCTAATATCAACCTAAATATCATGGTGTTTTATAAAATGCAAATTTTGTTTTTTTAAAAAAAAAGAAGCACACGAGGTGCTAGATTCATTGTTCATATATGAACAATTAATCTTGCTATACTGTGAATTAGATCATTTTTTTCAATAAAAAAATATTTAAGTGTTGCTAATACTTTTCTATTAGAAAAAATTTTAGATCGTGTAGAGTTGATTCGATGTGATAAGTTAACTTGGTGATTTCAAATATAATTCGGATGACTTGTAAAAATATAATTTGGTTAAAAAAATCAAGGATGTCATTTTTAAAAAATATATATATTGAGAAAATTGACTCGGATCAACTTAGATTAACTTGTTAAATTTATAACCCAGGTCATAGGACCATGATAATCCTATATATAAAAAATAAAAACAATTATGATGCACAATTGCTAAACAACTCAATATTAAATGAAAAAATTAAAAAAAAAACAATTAAAAAAAGACAAAAAAAGATCGAGTTAACCTACCAAACTCATAACTCGAGTCATGAGATCAAGATAATCATATAAAAAATAAATCAAAACAAATCATAAAGCTTCCAATCAACTCAATATTGAATAATATATAAAATTAAAAAAAAAATCAATTAAAAAAGGATATAAAAAATAACCTGAGTCAAACCAGGTTAATTAGCTAAAACCATGATCCAAATCATGAGACCAAGAAAATCTCAAAGAAAGTAAAAACAAAAAACAAAACTTTGGTCAACTTAGGTTAACCATCTAAACTCGTTAATTGGGTTATTAAATTGAAATAACATCATAAAAAGTTAATCGAAACAAATTATAAAACTCAATTCTCAATTAATTTATTGTTGAATGATTTATTAAGAAAAATTATATAAAAAAGACATAATAAAATGATCCAAGCCTACCCTAGTTAATTTGCAAAACACTTGATTCATGTTATAAAATCAGAATAACCTTATAAAAAGCAAACTAAAACAAATCAAAAAAACATGATTTCTAATCAACTTAATGTTGAAATATGAAATTAAAAAAAAATTAAGTCAATCGAGTTAACTCATCAAACCTATGACATGAGTTATAAGATTGTTATAACTATAGAGAAAGTAAAAAGCAATAAATCATGGAGCTCAATTTTCAATAAATCAATTTTTTAAAAAAAAAAACTCAAGTCAGCTAAGTTAACTTATCAAACTTATGACATGGTTCGTGAGATTGAAATAACTACAGAGAAAATAGATCACAATAAATCATGAAACTCAATTTCTAATAAACTAAATGTTAAGTGATAGAATTAAAAAAAAAATAGATTAAAAAACATTATTACAATGAATATTATTTAAACAAATAGATTAAAAAAACATTATTACAATGAATATTATTTTATGAGGTGGTGCACATTGAAAGCATCATCTCTTTAATTTTTGTTAATTTGTTATTGGTTCCCGTACTACACTGCGGGTCTGTATTATTTTTCAATAAGATATTTTGACATAACAATCGCGCTTTAGTTCTGATCAACTAAATAAGTTGGTTTTATTTGAATTATTTTAGAAAAAAAAAAAGACTACGATAACAAACAAGAAAACATATATGTATATATATAATCTATAAAAGAGGACAAACAAAATATACTATCAACTTGGATTAAAAGGTAAAATTAAAAAGAACAAAACTTTTATAAAAGAGTTAAGGAAAAAAAAGAGAAGAAATCATCAGAATAAGGATTAAATTTAGAACACAAATAATTGATCAAATAAACTTAAACATGTTGAATTTTTCATTGTGGTTTTTTACATAAAAAATCTAAATGTAAATCAAAAAACTTTTGCATTCATTTAATTAAATAAACTACTAACCATTATGTAAATAGATGAAAAAAAAGTAATCAACAATAAACATAATTGTAAAAATTAAGATATTAATATACATAAAGATATTTAATATCATAATACAAGTCATTTATATGATTGTTCTAATGAATTTGTTTATAAAAATTAATTTGTAATAGAGATTGACACCCACATAAAATTTATTGAAAAAAATAAACGTAAAAAAAATACCATGCAAAGTTGTGCATATTAAAAATATAATAAAAAATATTTAATTTATATAAAATATACAAAAAAAAATCCAAATAAATCATAAATAGTTGGTATTGAATACAATTTAAATTTTTTAAAAAAATATTTGAAAAAATACATATAAAAAAGCCATTAATATATATATATAAAAGAAATGGAGCTAGACCCTACTGAGCTTGGTAAGCCACACCCAACATCCGGCCTAATTAAAAAAGGATCATTATGCAAGTAGAAATGGAGCTAGACCTGCTGAGCTTGGTAAACATCCGACCTAATTAAAAAAGGATCATTATGCAAGTGAGGTTCTGGCCTAGCGGCGGGAGGGGCTTGTCCCCTTCCTCCGCACCTGGGTTCGAACCTCACCATGCACACCTGTCACCCCCGCGGTGCCTTACCTGCTCACTGGGCTTGCAGGATATTCAGTGATCCGTGGGGATTAGTCGTGGTCCGCGTAAGCTGGCCTGAACACCCCACGTAAATCAAAAAAAAAAAAAGGATCATTACACGAAGGCCTTTATTTTTTTAAGTTTAATGGGACGAATGACTTGAAAAAAAAAATAGATGTATTATTTGGAAATCCCATAATCCAGCTACTAGTCTAGTTGGGAAAGATGGTTATTTTTTTATTTAAAAATTTATTTTTAATTCAAAATATTTTAGAAATATTCTAGAAATCTTGTCAAACCAATTCATAGCCTAAAAAAAATCAAATACCCAAAATTAACCAAAAGAAAAAATCTTCCTAGACTTAGATCTATTTTTAAATGTTTTTAAGGTAAAAAAAACACCTAATCATAACCATCTTATTATATAAAATCATTTCACAAAAAAATTGATAATTTTGATATCCTAAATCTTCTGCAACATTAACTTTCTCTCTCTTAGCCTAATTCTGGTATCCCCCCTCCTCCACCCAAAAAAGATTACAAAAAGAGAAAAATAAAGTTTAATGTTAAAATATGATTTTTTAAAACCACAAAGATCGGTTAACATGAGTAATACAAATAAATCTTTTATACCAATTGCAAATTCACCATTTATTTTACCCGATTCTTTCTCTTCAGTTTTGTCTTTTAATTCAACCTTTACCCTAAAAAAACATATCATTAGGCTTTAATATGAACTAAAAAATGCTCAATTGTGAAAAAAAAATCAAAAATCAAAAATCAAAGTGAAAAAAAGAAGAAGCAATAAAAATAAAAAATCAAAGTGAAAAAAAGAAGAAGCACTATTGTATTCCACATATAGTAAACAGTAATGTATGAACAGTGAAAAGGCCACGATTTTAGAGGTGCATACAGCTCATTTGGGCATACAACTTTTTTATATTTTCCCAAAGGATTAAGGACAGAAATGTGCTTCTGGACTGATAAGATCTCAATATTCGGAATTAGCAAGGACAGTACTTCAGCATGTGGTGTATTTATGATTCCACTAGAGTAATGGAGATGGATGTGGCAAGACGAAGATACTGGGAATACATTTTGTGCAGCGAGTGGAGGAAACTGGCTGGCTAAAGTGCTGTGATGCTAAAGAAATTAGTTTGTCTGCAACTGCAATACAGGAAAATATAAAGGCAGAGGGGTTTGCTATCAAGAAACTATTAATTTATGGCTGTCTTCATCCTGTATTCCTCAAGATATCGAAGCCAAAGAAGGCTTCTCTGACCCCAAAATATATCATGGAGGTTGAATGAGGTCAATGGAGAAATTTGAAGCAGAGACGTTTAAAATAAATCTATTGCCAAAAAAAAATTCAGTCACTTTTTGAACTCAGTCTATCTATCACTAGCTTACATCTAGCACCAATAGAATTTGGTTTTCAGTTCACATCACAGAGTCTCGCACTTGAAGTTGAAGGTATTGGTCCATATGTAAATGCCGTAGCTCGCTTTCTTTTCAACCTATTCTCCATTTCTAGGGTAGTAAGGTGGCGTCTTGCTCCTGTCTCTGAATAAAAGTATCTAGACCAACAAGACAGAGAACTGGAGCAATGGACAGATACATATTTAAACAACCAAAACACACGAAAACAGTTGCCTAAGATGCATGGTAGTGAAAATGCATGTTTCAATGCTACGCTATGAAATTTCTTGGGCCTTGATTCATTAATCATCAGCAGATTCATATCCAATCCTAAGGTCATCAAATACATCAACAGATAAAATCCAATCCTGGATATTAGATAATTGGTCGCCTGGTTTTACATAATGAGCCAAGAACTTGCAGTTTTACCACAGAAATGAGAGAAGGAAGCAAAGGTATTAGTAACCATGCAACGTCAAATTTCGAGAAAAATAGATAACTGTTACAGTTAAGAAACAGTTCGCTGATATCCAAGGACATACCTGTGGATGGAGAATGGTAATGCCAGCGCTGCAACAGTCTTCTCTCCACCAGAGAGCTGTTCCATGTCTCGGAAACGCTTTTGTGAGGGCACAGCAGTGTATTCAATACCATGTAGAAAAGGATCGTCCTCATTTTCTAAGCTCAAATATGCCGTCCCGCCCAACTGACGATTGCTGCTCTTTTTCATATCTGTGCAAACAGGAACAAAGTAAGAATTTTTATTTGTAAATTATGGGCACCGAGTTACTTTCAGTTAATTTGGCCCATAGCAAAGATAAATATCAAGAAGCAGAGGCATCACAAGCACAAGAAGGTTGAAATCAATGAACTCAAAACTATAAATATGTTAGCATCAATAAATGCACAAAATCGGTCAAGCATGTTAAATTGTTTTCATGTTTTTCACAAATACTGAAACTTGTGTCGCTGTACCATGTTAAATACATTCTCAAGTCGAAAGAGATTTACCAAGTGAAGGATTTTGGTACAAAGAGTAGATGGCTTGACTAGGTTGACAAGCTGGATTAATCCCCTGATACCAAGAAACAAAAGACAAATGTAAGCACTCAAGCATGCTGTTTCCAAGACCATCAATAGGAAACAGATAACAAAAATTAAGTTGCCAAGGGTTCTTTTTATTCTTGTATGAAGGGACAATTCTTTTCTCAAACTGTGTTCACTGTACCATATTTTATTCCTTCACACATAAGTCTGAGATAACATTTGTCCTGGATCCTGATCATTACTTGCTAAATGGCTTGTCAAAAAACACCACGTAATTATTACCTTCTCTGCTTTACTGCATTGTAACCATCAGCTATTTGCTTCTCTTCCATTCTGGCTGCTTCAAACTCTTCAGTGACTACTTTTTCTTTCTCACGCAGAGCCTCATATTGATACAGGGCCTTCAAGCTTGGGGCATTTTTTTCAATTTCTGATATCAAGCCATCCATCTTTTGCTTAAATTCCGCCTCAGGTTTCTCTCTGGCAGAAGGTCTCCTATCCTGAAGAGATCTATTTAGCTGGCAAAAATCATAACATGGGCCAGGAATTGATGAGTCAATGTCCATGGTTATATTCCAAGTTTAGGCAGTAAGGATTTATGTTTCACAAAAAACGTTTAAAAGATTTATTTTTCACAATTTCTTTTTTTATAGGATCCTTCACAATTTTTTTTTTCAATTTTTGCGTGGATGATCTGCAGTGGACTGGAAAATAATTAAATTAGTTTACAGGCAAAAATTGACCTGGAAATACCGGCTCAATACAATTTAATAAACACAAAATTTAATTGAAATGTCGAAAGAAGAAGGGACAATACCCTGCTAGTGGTCTGATATGATTTCGAAACGTTGTTAAAATGAATTCAGGAGGATTCAAGAATTTTCAGAACACCTGGTGCTTCAGATGAGGACTGTGGAGCAAAGGAGGGGGGATAATAATGGCCACGCCACGAGGGGAACTGATCGCTACTGAACCCATTAACCTCTCCGTGCAGTAACAGCAATAAAGAACCCGGTGGAGGTTCGGCCAGTGCAGGATTAATAGAAAGCAGCACCAGTATGAAGGATGGTGAAATGAAGAACAGTGATTACAGGAGTACAAAACCAAGAACTCATTCCCAGGAAAAGAATGAGGAAGATAAGTATAACAAACTCAATTACATAAAATCTCTCAGCTAACTGAAACAGCTCGATTATTTATTTATCACTACACAGAAGGAAAGAACAAATTATTTGTACACATGAAATCGATGATTAGAGAAAGTACAGTCGAAACGTGCATTTTAACAAACCCTGCATACAGCACTTCAATCACTGAATTCTCCTTCATCAATTTTCTTCGCACTGCTAGATTCTGTACTCTCTCCTTTGTAGGAATCTGCTGTCTTGTTTTTATCATGATGTTCAATTTCAGCAAGCAACATATTGGCCCCAATGGGAGAATCTGTTATCTTGGTTTCATTTTTATGTCCACCTTGAGCGGCCAACATATTGGCCCCAATGGGATAATCTGCTATTTTGGTTTCATTTTGATGTCCAAGTTGAGCAGGTAACATACTGGCCGCATTGTTGTCAGAACTTTCAGGCAGCTGCTCTCTAGATTTTATACCAGCTTCTAACTCCTCGTACTGGGAAATGACTTGCTGGAGCTCATCATGGAGATTCAAGGCTTCAAAAAGCATTGCCTCGTCATCAGTGGTGCTTTCTATGATCCTCTGAATGTCAGGCTGTGACTGCTTGCACTTGTCCAACAAGCTAACCGTCAGATCTTCCTGCAGCCACACAGGAAGTTTTAATAATCGCAGCCATTATTTCATAGTGCGTTTATTTCCCCTCTATCTTGCTTGTGAAAATGTAGTCACTCAGCTATATGTTTTACAATGGGATCACAGAAAAGAGATCCCAGGAATATAATGTGCTTTCAAACTCATATTAACAATTTTTTTGTTTAGCACCATCACTGCAATTTGTCATGTCGTTTTTCTGGAACCCAATAGCATTAGCAAGTACGAAAAAAAATGAAAGATGAAAAATTCTTTATTCTGTGAAATATCAGAAAGATTAAAATAAACTTAAAAGCACGTATCAACTAAAAACGAAATTCAAAAATGTATATAAAAAGGTTAACAAGGATGAGCTGTTTAATGAGACTGATAATTTCTTATTGAATAACACCCAAAAAAATGAATTACCTTAATGGGTTTTGGCTCAGTTTCAGCTTTCAAAATACTAGAAAGAAGTTCCAGACTGTTCCGAGTTGTTACAAGCATTTCATTCTTTTCCTTAATTGATAACCCCCCAAAGTTATATGGAAGAGTATTATGATCTGCACCATGCAATCCCATGTCAGGAATAGGATAGTTTCCAGGAGGTGACAACGGTTCCTGGTGAACAAACGACTCCAATGAATACTGCATGGGGAATGGACTACCATCTTCAACTGGTGGTGGAGGCAGACTTCTTTCTTTTAAGCTCTGCCAGAGCCAGAAAACAATATTAGATGTAAGAAAAGAAAAACAAACGACAGAGGCTTTTCTGACTTTCAAGAATCAACGAGAACCAGAGTAACAATTGGCACAAAATAACATAGGAAAGAAAGGGGAGGGGGTGGTGCATCCATTTATAGAACTGACAAGCAACATAAGGAATAAATGGGCATATGTTAGTTCATCAAAAATTGGAAGACATGACACAAGTTAGGGAGGAATAGTGATATATTAGCATGACCCTGTCCAATAATCCTTCTCCATTAAGGAAAAAAGGTGCACCAGTTTATCACTTAATGACCACAGATCCCAAAGGTGCTCCTTTGTGGCCTTCTTTTAAAAGGATCGGTAAGTAATTTTGTTAGGTGCTAAATTTGTAACTTTGCCTCACATTCACAGGCTGTAACTATGAAGAAAGACATGGTTGAAAAAATGTAAGCAAACCCGCATTCCCAAAACTTTTAGCTTATTAGGTTTCTGATTTTGCAGCATATAGCAAAATCCAAGCCTTAAGAACATGCCAAAACCCAAGAAGCTGTCAAATAAATAATAAATTGCAGTTCTATACACTGACCCATTTACAACATTCAAGCATAAAGCTAAATATCCAACTGGTTTTCTTTTTTTGGCCAAACCAACTAGCTTATCAACTATGAGGAATGGCATCAGATATGCAGAGACTAAAACCAATCCAAGCCACAAGGCATAAGTATCACAACTGTATGTGTGAAATGATAATAGTGATCCTTGATTAAACACACCGAACTATTACCTAATCATACACAAACAATTGGTGTATGTCCATAGCAATGACAGCATTTGTTTACTGAAAGAAAGCTAACCATATAAGTCTGATGAAAGACAGGCAGATACTCAAGATCCTCAGACTCTCCCCAAGCCCTAATCAACTGCAAAGCTCGATCACGATTCCCCTGATCCGTCTGCGGATTCTCAATCATCCTAGCCATCTCATCCAACACCTTCTCAGACGCCACCTCAGAGAACACCTTCTCACAATTCGAAGTACATGCCTCCAACAAATCAAGACTCAGCCTTTGGCTCACCACACTCTTTCCCGAAAACTTCCTCTTTATAGCCTTAACAATCTCAGTACCACTAAACTCTTGGCTATTGATCATCGCACATATCCTCAAATTCAAACCCCAGTTAGGCTCCTCCATTGTCTCTAACGTAGCTTCATCGACCATCTTCGATTCAGGCGTTGGGGTTTGCAGCATTTCTTTCACCTTACCACTTACAAGTCGACTCATTTGAGCCCCACCAGTCTTCAACAGTTCACCCCATTCAGATAATTTCAGCTTGTCCATCTCTTATTTTACGCTCAAAACACAAACATCAACAGCTATGACAGCAACAACAACCAGTGATTCAATTTATAAACAAAAATCAAACATTGACTAAGCTTTCCTAGGAATAAAGAATGACAAACCTAAGGTCAGCTGCAATTGCAAAACCCTAATTTTGGTTTGAACAGAGAATTGAAAGCTCTAGTTGAGAAATTCCTGTGGAAACGTAGCAGTTTTTTAGAGGATATGTTAAAAAAAGCTCCGCTCGAGAATGAATTGGGCAGTTTTAATTTCCAGATGTTCTTTTGCCAGTGGTGACGAGTCAAGATACACGTGCCCTGTGTTGACAAGTCGTTTTCAAATACAAAAACGATGCATGGCAGTGGCAGCGTGGCATCGCTCTGTAACAATCATTAATTCCTTAATAAATATTTATTCGAATTGGTTCGTATAAAAAGACTTATCGTTTATGAAGAAAATACACTCGGCATTTTACAAGACGACACGTCATTTTAAGGGAAAGACGGACTTTGTTTGAAAACAAGTGTACGTCGCGGTGGTTGCATTATAAAATATTTTTTATTTAAAATTATATTAAAATAATATTTTTTTATTTATTAGAACTTATTTTTAATATCATTATATAAAAAATAAATTTAAATAATTTGTTTTTTGAAATAACAAAACCAAACAAACTCTTATGGACTCTTCTTACTGTGTGGGCTTGCAGCCTTACACAGAGTCTAGTTCTTCGACCCGTGAAAGAGAGGGACCGAATTGACCCGGCCTGAGGCTATAAAAACCTATCAAATTTAATTGAATATGTTTGGTAGTACGATAATTATTATTTTTTAAAATAATTTTTTATATTAAAACAAATATTAATATATTTTTTTAAAAAATTATTTTTAATATTAATGCATCAAAATAATTTAAAATTTATAAATTATATTAAATTTTAATAAAAATATTTTTAAAATTTTTTAGGAATAAGGTTGAACGAATTCCAAACAGCTCCTCAATTGAAGGCGCTAAAAAGATCGATTAAAATAAATAATAATAAAAAAACTGTTAAAATAAAAGGAAAGGAAAAACCTGTGTACAGCTAGGGGTTTAAGGATAAACCAGCAACCGAAGATAAAGAAGGAAACAAACACTCACAAAACTAAACAAAAACAGTAATTGTCTGCTAGGGAAATGGCTTCTCTGTCGACTTGGTGTCGTTACATTGCTCACAAATTCGAGTACTCTCTCTCTCTCAGCTACAAGGTCCCCCCCTCTCTAAACCCATTTTTATTTTCTTTTTTGCTGTTACACAAGATTGATGCAATTCGACGAGTGTGTGTTTGTGGGTTTTCTCATTTATGCCTGTTTTGATGATTTTGTGCCTTGTATCTGGTTTCTCGGTTTTGGTTTACCCGGGTAAAGGCTGCAAATTTTGCTAGAAAGATTTCTTTTTGCTTGATGGGTTTCTTTCTTCATTGATCTTGATGCGGGGTTTACCGGAAATGGGATGTTTCAATGCCATTCTCTCTTGTTTTATAAGATATGCATTTTTTTGGAGACTAAGCTTTATCCGCTCTATGTCTTTTACTTGTGAGAATATAGTGTCTATGGGTATGTTTGAGGGAACAATACTTTGCTGGAGAAACTCAATTGTAGATGTTGTGTTGCAGAATTTTGCTTGATTTTTGTTGTAAAAGGAAGTTTTATCCAATAAAGTCCAAGATTTGGGAAAGAT